CCCAGGGCCAGGCTGCAAGCAGCTATCACAGATGGAGCAGGTTTGCAGGGGAGACCACCCCACCACCTCCTCCTCCCATGGAGGAGGCACTCACCACAGGAAACCAAGCCCTGCCTTGTCCCCCGGCTTGCTCTGAACCCCCACCATGGTTTCAGCAGGGCAGGAAGATGCCCACAGAGGGTCGGGTGGGTGCCTCCCCTTACTCCCCTTTCCCCCCAGAGCCTCCTGCTCCACCACCTCCCTGGCAGCCCCATGGGCCCATGGCCTCCCCACTCCCCCCAGCCCCTGTTGCTCCCAAAGGCAAACCGGTGGCCTCAGACCAGCACATCCCAGAGCTGCGTGGCCCCATGCGCACCCCAGCCCAGCCAGCACCTTCCTCCCATTCCCCAGCTTCTCCTGCCACCCTCCTACAGCAGGAGGAAAGAGAGAGCAGAGCATGTCTCCTATGCATAATTCCTGCCATACACCTTTGGAGCAGCATCCCAGAGAGCAAGGGAGGGATGCGGCAAGCACAGCTGCCCCACCGAATTCCCCGAGAGCATCCCCTCCTCTCTGGAGACGGAGACATCAGTGCAGCTGTCTTGCAGAGGACAACCCCCTGCTCAGCTCCATCAGCCCCACTGCACACTCTCGTGTGCCCTTTGGCTTTTCCCAGATGCCTGAACTGCAACTCTGCTAGCACTTGTGTCCCTGTGCTGAGGAGGGCTCTGCAGAGCTGGTTCCCAGAGAGTTGGGTGCTGGACCGGGATAGCCCAAACTGATGTGCTGCCAGCACTGCCGTACAGCCCCCTTCTCCCCTCCCCAGGGCTCGGTGTTGCTCTTTGGGATCAGCTTTCCCAGCAAAATGCAAATGCCACAAATCTTGGGACGATCCTCAAGAGGGCATTGGGGACAGGGACATACACTGGCATCTCTCATTGCTTTCCAGCGTGTGCGGGGCCCCTGCTCTCACCGGGTTGGTGATGCGATTCCCCCTGCACCGGCACAGAGCTGGGTGCTCGCTGTGCAGCCGATGGGTGCTGAGCACGGCTTGCCCACCCAGCCTGCAACAGGAGACACGGGGTCCCGAAGGTGGCCAGGGCCTGGCGGGGAGCATCCTGGCCGTGTTTCGCTCCTTCACCACGTCTCAGGCACTGCGTAAGCAGAGGGTTAACGATTCCCACATTAAGTGGCTGCAGATGTGTGGGAAAGTCTGGGGCGACCGGACGGCATCGCTATTAGTATTCACCCAGGAGCCTGCCGCTGCCTCCTGGGGCTCTGCGGAGCACATTTAATACCAAGGCTCGTCATGGGGGTTAGGAAGAGTGCGTGGGACAGGGGGCGGAAAGACCCCGAGGCAGGGAGAGGCAGTGGGCTAGCATCCTCCGCTGCTGGCTAGTGCCTCCTCCAAGCACCTGAACCCCGGGGGATGTAGGGAACGGGCCAGCATCTGTAGGGACACAGCACCGTATGGCGTATGGTTCAGTGATACCTCCTGACACCACTGTCACCCTGTGGTGTCCGTGACCAGCGTTCACGGTGCCGCAGGGTGCTCTCCAGCCTGGGATGCTCCCCAGCACATTGTGCTCAGCCACATGGTCACTCTGGAAGGAGGCCGGCACTTTCTGCCTCCCTTTCCTCCCTGGGCACTGCTGTCACCCACCGCCACCCTGGCAAAGCAGGACCATGCACAGGGCAGCGGTTCCTCCAGAGGCCGGGGCAGAGCTCTGGAAAGGGCTGGATGAAGCCTCCATGCAGCTCTCCCCAGGGCCCAAGAGATGGATCCAGCCAGGAGCAAGTGCTGACAGCTGCTGCGCCGGATGGGTTGCCCAGATGTGGTGCCATGCTCCCCGGCACCTGCCACTCCTCTTTTGTGGTCTGCGGCTCGACACCGCATCAGGGCGATGCTGAAATTCCTGGGCTGACTTGGAGTTGATAGAGACTCGAAGGAACTGAAGCCAGGGGCGAATCTGGCCCTCGTTAAACCTTCGGAGAAGTGGGAAAGGCTGACATCTGCTGCTTCTTTCCTACCTGCCTCTTACCCGCTGGCACATGGGACCTGTCGCTGACTCCAGCACAGCCGTTCCCACCATCATGTTGGGTAACCTGGCTCTGGTGTCTCTTCTCCATGTCAGGCGCGGGATATGGGCTTTTCCCTGTGGTCCCAGCTCCGCCTGGGATGGGGCAGGATGTCAGAGAGCTACTCTGATCCAGGTGATGCCAGAGCAGTCCAAATACCCTGGAGTGTCCCTATCTCAGTGGCTGCTGTCCCCACCAGAAACGCTGCACTGCATGACCCCAAGCCCTCGCTAGCACTTAACGATGCTTATTGAGGCTGGAAATCTCAGCCGAGAGCAGCTCTGGCAGCCCACACTGCAGCTGTCCCAGCCCTGGGGGAATCACTAAGTCCTGCAAGTGCCACAAACGGGGGTGCAGGCGCCAAAAATAGAGGTGAGCAATGAAAGGGGGGAGGGGGGGTGAGGCAGAGGTAGCTGAGCTGCTCCCTTCTGCCCACGCGCTCACACAAGCGAGTCCCTCTGGCTTTGGTGCTTCCTCTGAGCTGGCCTTTCCCAGGAGCTGCCATAACCCCGACGTGCTGTTCCTAAACAAAGTGCGCAGCCCTGGATGCTCCCTGGGGACGTATAGCACGGGCCGCCATGTGCTTGCCGGGATGCTGTGGGCTCTCCAGGGCCCTCTCAGCATCCCAAAACAATGAACCTTGGCCTTTGCAGACTTCTCCTGGGAGAGGGTTTTGTTTGCCGAGGTTGTCCCTGCTCTCAGCCCAGGAGGGGGTATTGGGGTCATTTGTTTGCAGGGGGAAGAGGCGGGGAATACATCCCACCTCAGGATCAGGATGGTCTGCCCTCAAGCGTGGTCCATGCTAGCTTTTCCACCCCCTGCTCACCCCAGGTAGACCATCCCCGGTGCGAGGGGCCCAGCAGGATTGTACCAGCGGGTTTCTCCCTCTCCTGCTGCATTGGGAGCAGCGATGCTGTCCTTGAAGGGGAGACGCTGCCGGGAAACAGCTCTGCTGAGCTATTCCCAGCAGCCCACATGTCCCCGTGCAGGGATCCGTCAGACACGTCTTTATCCCTTGGGAAAAGTGTCAGGAAGAGCCATGTGTGCAGCACGTCCCCTCTGCCACCTGCCCCCCATATGAGCCGCTCTCACGCTCGCTGGCTCCTCTTCTGCACGACAGACTGTCTCGGCTCTGAGGGGGCTGCCAGGGCCCCCCAACACATGGCCGCCACCACATCTGGAGTCGGGGAATCTGGCCAGCCCGGCGCAGGGGAGCAGCGGGCTCTCGCCCAGCCATCACCGCTTCACCCCCCATGCAGCCCGGCGTAAGAGCCCCTCCAGCTCCCGGGGGGCTGCCTCTCCACCATCCTTCCTTTCCCCGGCTTTCCTCTCCTGCCTGGGCTCAGCCAGGCCCACATCTCCCCTACCCTGTCCGCAGCTGTACCTGCCCGGCTGCCAGACCCTGCCAGGCGTGGAGCCGGCACGCGAGCCCTGTGCAAAGTGCCGCTCATTGCCTGCGGATAACCGGGGGTGCCGCAGCCCGGCTCTCCTCGCCCTCCGCGGCTGCACAGAATAAAGACCTTCCCCTTTGGTTTTTCATCGGTGCAAAGAAAACACCAAGATAACGGACGATAAACGGCAATCTCTCCGGCTCGTCCAGCCCGGGAATCATTAGCCATGCCCATTGTGCAGGCGTTCATTAGCGAGGCAGGAGGGGATGAGTCTGCCTTGCAAACAAGCAAGGAACACAGATTTCAGTGGTGTTGTCTTTATGGGAAGGGCTTTTTCATTCTTGGAAAGGAAAAAAAAGAAAGATAGAAAGGTATCTTTTCAGGGGAGTCTCCTTTTTCAGGATAGCCAGTGCATCTTTGCAGTTTTTCTTGTTTGGATCAGACAAAAGCACATCCCCAAGATGGAAATGGTGGCAAGAAATGATGGGTCAAAAGTCAGTTTTGATCCAAAGAGCTTCTGCACCTTGTTATAGTGCCGAAACAAATTGCAAAAAAAATCCCCTTTTGGACAAACGATAATGTTTTGCCTATTGAGACAATCTCAGAAACTTTATTTGAACTCATCAAGGTGTAGGGAGGATTTAAAGCAGGTCCATCAGCTGGCTTCCACCCCCCTGGGGCAGGAGGGGTGCAGGACATATGAGATGATGGCACGGCCAAGGTGGAAACTCCTGACGCCTCTCCCAGCTCCACGTCCCTCGGCAGCCCAAACGGCCCCGAGTCCCCAACCAAACCCACCCTCTGCGACAGCATCCCAGTTGCACAAGACCTTTTATTCCCCGATCCAAAAAAAAAAGGACTGGGAGGGTGAAAAAAAAACGCCGGTCCCCGCCGGCCTGCTGCGGGACGGGGGACAGGCGGGGCGGGGGCGCAGTGCCGGCACGGCACGGCTCGGGGAGGCGTCCGGGGGGAATACGCGGAGTCAGTTCAGTACAGGCCTTCTTTAATAAAAACATGAGTCAGCTGCTGGCGTGGGCAGCGGATTTTCTAAACATCCCCTCATATCCTGAGAAAGGGGAAAAAAAAAAAAAAAAAAAAGGGAAAGAAAACGGGAGGGGGGGGCTTGAGGGGAAAAAAAAGAAAAGAAAAGAGAAAGAAAACAGGGAAAAAGGCCAGAATTGAAAGCAGACACAGGGAGAGAGCAGCTCCTTCCCTCCGGTTTAAGGAGGCGAGAGCCAGGCTGGTCCGGGCTCCTTTTGTTTCCCGTTAGCCGGGCCCTTGCCGCTCCCCCTCATCGGCAGCCTGCGGCAAAACTCCCCTCTCCTTCCAGCCACTTTGGCTTCTCCTCCTTTTTTTAAATTTGTTTTCCCCCCATCGCACTCGTCTGCCGGGCTTTAATCGCAGGTTTTGCTCTGCAAAGGGTCCCCGCAGAGGGTGGAGGGAGGAAGTCAGAGGGACTCCGCTCCTCATTGGCGAGGCAGCCTCCCCCCTTCTCCTCCTCCCGAGGTCCCTTTTATTTATACACGCACACACACACGCGTGCACATCCCTCGGCCAGGGGCTTTGCTCCATGCTGGGGCCCGAGGCGGCCAGACCCCCTCCCAGGTGGGCTGGGGGCTGCCCAGGGCGCTGCTGAGATGCACTAGAGGAGCAGAGCGAGAGCTTGGCTGCAGCCCAGCCCTGGCACAGCCTTGCCTCTCCTTTTGATTTTATTTTAATTTTTTTCCCCTCCTCCCCTCCACTTCATTTCTTGCCTTCCCTTTCTTTCTCCTTTAAGTGGAAAAGCCTTGCCAGCTGGGGAAGGCTGGGAGGGCAGGGAGAGCCTCGGCAGGCAGCAGATAAAGAGTGCGGAGGAGGAGAGGAAGGAATTTCGGGGCGGCCAGCGCCCGTGGGACGTGCGGCACAAGCGCTTGCCCAGTGGGACCCTGCCCAAGGTAAGTCCTCGCGTTGCCCACCCGGGTGCCGGCTTGCCCTCCCACTCTGCTCCGGCTCTCCGGCCAGGAAACCTCACGCTGGAGGTGGTACGGACCCCAAGGACCCTCTTCCTGAGCCAGCCCGGTTGCTCTGGAAGGGGCTTTGCTCCCCTGCAAGGGGCTGGCACCCCAAAATGCCCTGCCAAGCCCTGGGGAGGTGGTGTTTGGTGGAGAGCGGCCGAGCTCTGCGGCACCCTGCAGGAAAAGCCGTCCTGTCAGCTCTCGCCAGGTCCTGAGCTGGGACGACTGCGGGGAGCCAAGGGGACGCTGTGGCTGTAGGGCAGGAGGGGGGACCCCGCTGCAGCGGGAGCGGGACCCAGGGGATCTCTGCTTCTCCCTGGGGAGCTCTCGGTCCCTCTCTGGATCAGGGGGTTACCCTGGCTCTCCCAGCCCAGCGACTGTGGGAGGGCTGGGGTGTGTGTGGGGAAGGGGCTGCTCATCGTCCCCAGCGAGACATCTTTTAGAGGCGTGAGTGTGTCCCACTGCAGAGCAGCATCGCCGCAGTGTTAGGCCGAACGAACACACCCATGGTCATCCCTAAATGCAGGGTGCTCCTAGGACCACACCGCTTCGGTCTGTGCCCTTGGCGGGACTCATGTCCCTGTGGGCCAGGCCAAGGTGGAGAAGGACATCTGCAAGCCCTGCTCAGGGCCTGCACCCTGGCATGCTGGGTACTGGAGGGGGTAGAGCCTGGTAAAACCCTTCTAGGCATGGATGTGGGCAACCACTCTGCTGTCCCAAGAGCCCAGGAGCTGAGGGCCTCCAACAGGCTGGAGCTGGTCTGGAGTGAAGCTGTGCTGACTCAGGCAGCCCCAACAGCCCGGGGACAGGGGCTTGCATGACCTGCGGGGCTTTGGTGCTCACACTGGGACCACTGTGGGCTCAGAGCATCCAGCTGCTGCACTCACCTGCCAACAGGGAGACTTTGAAAGCAGGACTTATGGTGGAAAGGGATGTTGTGCTGCTCAATCCTTGCCCCAGAGCACCTGGGGCTTCTGCTAAAGCATTGGGTGAATAGCAGTTGGTTTGGCGTGCAAACCCTGTTTGCAGGGGCTTGGCAGTCCCAAATCTTTTCAGAGGGTCTCCCATCGATGACAAGGATCAGCAGTGTTGAGTGCCAGTGCCCCCCAGGGACCACTGAGGGGCTGGTTGAAGGGCCATTTCCCCCTCAACACCCTGCAGGACAAGGTGCCTGTGTACCCCGTGCTCTCGGGAAAGGGGCACATTTCGTTCAGGCAGCCAGAGCCAGTGGCAAAGATGCCGCTCTGCCTGGCAGGGGGCACGTGCTGGGCTGGCTCTGAGGGGGAGCCGCCAGGTAGCCATCCCAGTTGGCAGCCAGCCCTGGGCACGGTCTGACATGAGGCTTGAAGTCACTCCTTGACATTGATGTCACCCAGGCTCGGGTGTGCTGTGGCGCCGGTGGCAGTCACCAATCCCAGGCAGTGTCCCTGTGTCTAGGAAACACCCCTCGAGTCAGTCGGTGCATCAAGAGGGGTCAGTGTTTTGGACAAGCATCAAGTCACAGCGACGCATTTGCAGGACGCAAAGGGCTTTTCTCTCTCCCTAAAACCAGCTGTCCCTTCCTCCAGCTCAACAACATGGAGGGTCCTCGCTGAAGGAGCAGGCGGAGGGACCGCAGCCACCTGATTACCTGTCCTTGGCTCATCTCCCGCATCCCTGCACAGGGCTAGGGGTTCAGGGTGCCTGCGGTCTGAACGGGGAGCACAGCCTGAACACAAGCACGGCCAGCTGTAATGCTGCAGTCAGGGAGAAGTTAGCCATGGCTTGTTGTCCAAAGTCCTGGGCATTTCTAGTGGGGTCCCGCAGGGCTCTGGCCTGGGCTTGGTCCTCTGCAATCTCTACATTAACCGCCTGGGCGATGGATGAGCGCACGTACTAAACTCTGGGCTGGCACCAAGCTGGGTGGGCAGCCCGTGTGCGGGCAGATCGGAGTGCAGGAGGATCCCAAGGGCTCTGGGAGGAGTCTGGTATCAACCAGGCAATAGCAAGCTGTGACAACATGTTGCCATTAGGAAGGAAATATTAAATGGCTGTTCGCGATCTTGGGAGCTAACAGCCCAGGCAGCTTGTACGGTGGGAAAGGATCTGGGGGCTATAGCGGACACAAACCGGATTGCAGCGTGGTGCAGGGAAACCTACAGCTCTTCCCATGGGATGTGCTGAAAGGCACACGGCTGGAGGCAGCGCGAACAGGCAGGGTGGAGGGAGTGGGTCCTCCCCAGCAAGTGATGCCAAGCGCTTCAGCAGGGATGCACACGGAGTGGAAAGGCTCAGGGAGAGCAGGGAGGGTGATCAGAAGCCCAGAAGAGGCTGCAGAGGACTGGGAGAGGCGCTGATGGGGCTCGTTGGTCACTGGGTGTTGTGGGGAGGTAGCACACAGTCTTCATGCACGGGAAAGGTCACTGCAAAGAAAAAAGTTAGCTTTTAGGGGAAATGTCTGTAGGTTTAAAGACATGGGGTTGGGCGCCTTCAGCCCCACAGGTTTCAAAGGACATGTCGGGCACACCTCTGGCTGGGGAGATGTGGGCACTGCAGCAGAGCAATGACCCAATGATCTCTTTCAGCCTCGTTTTTGATGGGTCTGTGACAGGATTTCCGAAGCGTTCAGAAACAACACTGTTAGGAAGAGGAGAGCACTGAGCCCTTCTCCAGGACTAGGGCAAAATGAAATTGTCTTAGTGAACACCAGAGGAAAGCTGAGGTTAAGAAATGCTCTCTAGCTTTGAGAACAATGCCTTGCAAGAAGAGACCATGTTGGCTGGCCACAGCATCACCCGAATGACGGACAGGTGTGACCAGCCACTGCCAGAGGGTCCAGGCAGGCACTTCTGCGCCCAGCTTCACCCTGGGACCAGGCGGTCACCGAGGTCCCTCTGGCCCTGGTGTCAGATGCCATGCTGAAGCGGGATGGCATTGCAGTGGTGTTCCTAGGGTCAGGCTCCTGCAAAGCGTCTTCCCGGGATGCAGCAGCAAAGGGCAGGGAGCGGAGGAGCTGTGTGGTGGCCGAATCCCGTGGGAGCACAGCTGCTGGTGCTGGCAGCGGGGGCTGCCTTTGGCCCAGAGCTGGAGGGAGCTGGGGACTGCGCCGGCTTGGGGCTGGCTGGATGCATCCTATCGCTGCCAGGGAGGATCCGGGCCGAACACTTCGTGGAGTTTGTTTGTTTGTACTTTAACCAAGAGAAAGAAATCCCCTGGAGAAGAGCTGTGAGGGGAGGGTATAGACCGGGTATTGTTTCCTGAGAGGCTGGAGCAGCTCCAGGAGGCTCCTTCCGCTCCGCCAGGCAAATTGGACATAACGAGGCTTGGTTTAGGGGTGGCTGTTTCCCCTCCTCCTCTCCCCAGTTGCCTAATTAGGTTCCCCAAGCCAAGCACACCTCTGCTCTTCTCTGCTCCCGCCAGGAAGCCTCCTCCTGGAAGTGCAGCGCTCTCCTGGCACCATGGGGGACACGGAGCAGACCCAGCCAGGACAGGGACAGGGACACGTGCCAGGGATGCACAGAGGGGTGCTGGGATGGGTCATGTGCTGAGCAAGGGGGTCCCACAGGTCCATCACCCACCCAGCCTGGTAGCAGGAGACGTACAGTGATGCGCTGCCCCTCTCACCCCGCTTTTCCATCGTCCCTGGGCACACACCTGGGGGACAGGCTGTGGCATGCCCTGGTCTGTGTTTGTACCCTTCTGCAACCACTGACTCACAGAGCCAGAGGACCACAGTGTGGAGAGCCCATGCAGGGAGCTCACAAAAGCTCCCACAGAAAGACTGCTGTCAGGAAAGCCATGTTGGTGTAGTGCGAGTGGTGTATGTCCTGCACCCATGGATGGATTCGTCCTCTCCGAGGCATGCCTGCAGGGGCACCTGCTTATCTGTCCAAGTCTCCACTACACCCATCCTATGCTGTTCCCCAGGCTCAGCAAGAGCCGGTGTGTGATGGGGCTCACAGCAGGCTGTGGGGTCCAGGAGCAGGGAAGGATTGGAGAGTGCAGGGATGTAACCAGGGCACTGCGCTGGCTGTCAAACCCCAGGCTGCAAACCAGGAGACAGATGGAGTAGGAGGTACCTTCTCAGCACGACCCACGGGCAGCACCAGGGCTGCTCAGGGGGACGAGGCTCCCAAAGCAGGCAGGAGACGGGCAGGCGACAGGCAAGCGTACCCCTCGGTGCGAGGCCCCATCCTACCGGTCCCTCCGCCTTCCCCCTTCTGGCCCGTCTACCATGCAAAAGAGTCTGTGACTGAAATCTTAATGCTACCAAGACACAGTAATTGGCACCAATTAAATTGCTACATTCATGTTTGAATTGCTTTAACTGGCGAGACACACTGTCTTATTTATACAAAAAAATATGTTTGCTTGTGGGTTTGTCTGAACTGGGGCCAGCAGAAAATACACCATTTCGAGCCTCGCTCTCTGAAAGCGCATTCTCCGCTCGCAAACTGTAAGTCACCTCGGTTTCAGCCTTTGCTGAGCAAATGGTTGCAGAACAGAAACCCTGCTTTCCTCGGGGCTGAGCACTGCCGGCATCGCGAGAGGGGTCCCCTCCTCTCTCCCCACAGGCAGCTGCCAAGTTTCCCTCTCCAGACTGGGAGCTGTTTGGGAGAATATGGTCTGATTCAGGGAGGCAAACTCCTGGTGCGGGGAGCAGGACTTGGTGCCCATTTTAAAGCTGTGCTCAGGGAAAGGCAGGGGGTGCTGGCAGCTGCCAGCCCCGGCACTGAGCCCTGCCTCAGCTTCTCCTCCAGAGGATCCGTGGGGTTTTGGGGGCAGGGGGTGTTTGCAGAGAACTGATTTTTGATCCATGACTGAGGGCAGAGGAACCGCTGGAGGTTATAAAGGACCCTGTGTGCAGGATGGCAAGCACGGCTCGTGCCGCCTGCCCAGAGCACGTAGGAAGAGGTTATCCAAGAGAGAGGCATCCCTTGTGCAACCTGCAGTTGCACAGG